CGTTGATTGGGGGGTTCTGGTTTGGGCCTGGAGATCATGATACACGATTCCTCTTCGGCCACCCAGTTGGCGGTTATCGCCGATGGTCTCCCTCGATCACATTCTGAGTAAATTGTTTTGCCATTGTTGTTTTTATTATTATTATTTTTGATCATCGTCGATCACAGTTGAAGTTCCAACCGTCCGTCAGGGTACCATGGTCTTCTTCCCTGTCCATTGGGCCTGCCAGGTCGCCGAAAGGACACACTCGATGATTTCATCTCACTCGAGATGGAGGGAAGTACTTTTGAATTTTCAATTGCGTTCAGAAGATCTTCGATCTCGCAACTTCTCGTTGATTCACGAAGGACTGAGCAAAAGCTCTCCAATGCGACTTGGCAGTCCAACTTAAACCCCCGACCATCCATGATGTCAACGACCCCCCCACTGACAAGCCCTCATTGGCTCCTTGTTCTCCCCGTGGACCTGGTCCGGGATGAGAAGCCCAACCAATGAGAGGGTGTCGGGAGTGGTTTGACAGGTTGTGTTTGATCGCTGAAGGTTGAAGGCTGAAGGTAACTGAGAAAGAAGATGGAGAAGGGGGAGAATGTCATCGACCCCAACTCGTGATCCGCGGAGGAGACAAACAAACATGGTCAATCTTCTCTCTCCATGAATTCAGTTCCTCCGTTCAGTTCGTTTCTCTCCAATCAATTCATCAATTAATTGAATCTGTCCGGGAATTCATTCTTGTTCGTCTATCATGTCCCGTCTGGCGTTATCTCCATATAGGGAGCTCCTGATCCACCTGTTGTTCGTCCTGCCATGATTCTGCATTGCCTTCTCCCCCTCTTCTTATTGAGCAATCCAACTGTTCGCCGTTGCATGTGGTGACTACGATTTCGTGGATAGACAGGGTGAATCTTCTCAACGTCATCTGTTCCACAGGGTTGCGGTTGCACTTCCCCAGCTGGCCCACTTGCCTAGAAGCTTTCTGCAATAGCCTTAGTCGTCTCGTCCTTGGAAGGTCTGGACACATGGTCCGATTCCAGAGAGAATCTTCTATCACTCCGGTGGGTCCCTTGCCTTGATATCCGGCCTTGGAAAGAGGGCTTCCCATCCACGGATTTATTTTCCTACCCCCCGTTCTGGTTGAACCTCGTCTTCGATTTCTTCGATTTCTTCGCTTTGTTGAGAGTAAAAACTACCTCTCGGCCTTTTGCCAATTCCCGCACGGCCAACCGTGGTAACACTGCCTGCCGCACTTGCCTTACTTGCCTTAAAAACATACGCTTTTCCCCTCTCCGCTACCAGACACCTTCAGCCACCACCTGAAACTCTTCCCACCGGCCATTCTATCATACGACTCCTCGACTCGTCTGAATCCTCTCGCTCGAACTGTTCATATCTAATCGACGTCGATCTCTCTCCCCCGTTGTCCCTGATCGGACTCTCCTCCTGTGTGCCCTTAAGCCTCTCTCTTTCTCTCTTTCTGCATCCCGAAAGCCCTGACATATATTGGTCGTCATCTGGTCACTCTTGACTCTCGCTTCCCCCACTAACCATCCACAACCCTCCTTTGGCATATTCTTCGTCACTTCGCTCCCCGGCAGACTGTTAGTATGTCAGTGGAACAACCTCTCTACCGCCGCGATCAGGCCGCGATGACAGATCCCACCGGTGCCGATTCAGCTGCCTTCGCCGCGGCGACCGCTTTCTCACAGCCCGACTTGTTGGCTTTCTCGCTCCCGGAAGAAGAACCGGTCTGGGGTTTCGAGACCATCGTGCCGGCCATGGCCTCGTGGCCCAGCAAGATGGAGCCACAGACCTTTTGCAACCCGAGCATGGAGGGGGGCTTCAAGAACACTCGCGTCCGCAACGGACAGCCCACGCCGCCTCCCTTTGATGACAAGAAACTGCAGCCCCCCATGGGAGAGACGTACCCGCTAGCACCATTTGTCTTCACCAGCTCCCCACCCGAGTTTGCCCCCCGAAACAGCGCAGCAGCCTCAGTGAGCCGTCGCAGACAGACAGTTACACGGTCAGCCCCCGACGTCGCAAGGCGTCGGCCGCCGCCCTAGATGACCCCCGGCAGGAGCGGGCGAAGCGGGAAAAGTTCTTGGAACGGAATCGGTTGGCGGCCAGCAAGTGTCGACAGAAGAAAAAGGAGCACACGAAGCACCTGGAGATCCGGTACCGCGAGGTATCCAGCAGGAAAAGCGAGCTCGAGGCTGAAATCGAACACCTGCGCGGTGAAGTGCTCAACCTCAAGAACGAGATGCTGCGGCATGCGCAATGTGGAGACGAGGCTATCAAGCTCCACCTCGCCCAGATGGTCCGCATGATCACTTCCAAGGACACCCCCCACCGCGATGTGGTTTCTCCCGTGCGATCCCCGGAACAGCACACGGCGGCGACTCCTCACGGGCTGTCGTTCGGGTTCGACGGTCCCATGCAGCTGCCTTCGGAGATGGGGTCGCCGTTGGATCAGCGACGAGCCTCTGAGCAGTCCATTCTGACCGACTCGTCCTACACATTTACCACGGATGACGGGTTTGAAGAGCTAATTAATGTTTAAGCGGGTCACGTCATTGGCCTTGGTGTTTCTTAGCGTTTCTTTTCTAATTTTTTTCTTCTTCTTTTTTGTGTTATCTCTCTTGTTTACCATTTTCTTTTTCTACAAAAAGAAAAAAAAATTGGTTTTCTTGTATCTCGGTGGAGTCCGATAAAAGCGACTTGCATAATGCTCGATTCTCGCACACGAAATGAGACGTCCGAAATGTTACGAATCTGACCAAGTCGGCTACTTTGCTTACGATGAGCTCTGGCGTTTGGCGTTTAATGGATACAGGCAAGTGTTCCGGTTCAGGGCCTGGGCGGATTTACTGTTGCGGAGTGGTTTATTCCTGGCTGGCTGTATTAATAGATGTTGGCGGTCGATGCTAGCGGCCTGCATGATTCTGGGGCATCTGGTTGGTCACTCGTTGGGCTCGAGGGACATTGCTTTACAATCAGATGTATAATACCTTCCGGTGTATCAGAAAATGGAAGAGCCCGTCCAATGTATGATCTCGTAGGATCGCCACCCAACGTAGCTCATGATCTTCGTAGACTGTCCCCGGCGACCATCGATCAGTCTTTGCCTCCACGATCAAACTATACCTCCAAACATTACATCAGTTTTGATATCCGACTCCGACTCAAGACGATGAGGCAAATCCTCCTGACGGTGGCAAATAGAGCCAGGCACGGGTTCTATCTCCAGCCGACAGTCATTGGCGACCCATGAACCATCGTGGAACGTTGGAAAATTAACATTCGATCCCTGATGACGGCCGAGCTCCACCATGACATCGCCCAACCTTGGACTCTGTGGGGTCCATTGGCGGATATCCTTCCTCCTATCAAGCGAGCTTTATCCGCTCAATTTTACTTTGACAAATTCCAGTCCCTGTTCTAGTCGATGCATCACGTCAGTTGTCTACTCGAAGGTTAAGGTAGGGTAAGGTAGGGGCGAAAAGTCTTATTTTCTTTTGTTTCTTTGGTGTGTGCTAGGTTTGGTAGTTAGTTACTGCTGGAGGGGGTAGAGCAGTGACAGTGAGATGGAGAGTGGAGTACGTGTTGTTTTGGGAGTATGCTGTATGTTGTATGTATATAGTATGGAGTATATGAAGTGTATACTAGGTAAGGACATAGTATGGAGTATGTAGTATGTAGTATGTAGTAGATAGCAGATAGCAGATAGTAGATAGTAGATAGTGTGTAGATATAGACGAACCTCTTCCTTCTCATAACAGCATCTCTTCTCTTCCTCTATCAATAAACGATGTGAGATCAAACTCGTATATGGAAATAAGGTCTATCCAGAATAAAAGCCATGGATACTACTCAACTCTTAACCAGATATGATATATTCTACCAGTCACACCATACCATCCTGGAACAGACATACCCTCAATACACAATACTATTCCTACAGTCACTTTTTGCATAAAATAGATGAAATAGAACACCGTGGGAAAAAGACCAGAACGAGTCTTTTCTCGGTGGGATAACTACTACTCTGCCATTTTACTAATAAGATATAGATTACATAGATTACATTAGATACTGTAGACTGATAGATAGATAGTAGTAGATAGATAATAAATTAGGGCTAAATCCCACGGAGAACAAATCCAGATGCGCTTCATTGGTCCGAGATTAGAACCATTCCCTCTTATCTCCGGATATAGTTAGTAAGTAGTCTTCAGGTTAACTTGAAACAATACTATAACTAGTTAGTTATGCAATGCTGTGTGTCTAATATGTCCGGTAGATCACGCCTCCCGTCATAGCTCCACACTATCTTATGCATGTACTGTGTGCACTTACAGAGTACAGAGTACGCGCACAGGATCTTACTTGCAGGGTATGGTATGGTATGTATGTATGTATGTATGTACCTACGTCATATTATTTATCTACCCTAATCTTAAGATCCACTAGTGGAGTATACTCTGTACTTACTATGTACAGTAAGTAAGTACACAGTAAGTAAATCGATCAGATTACCTCCACTATACTACACAGTATACTGAGTGACTCTTGGTAGTTTCTGAATTCGGTATGACTTCATAGCGGGATTTGGCGGTGTTTGGTGTGGGTCTCTTTCCCCCCCGGTCTTTGGGGTGGACTGTTCTTCTTGATTGATTGTAGATCATGGATAGGCCCGCTGGGCTGATTTTTGGGTCGTCTGTACGTACTTTTTTCGGTACTTTGGGGGAATTGTTCATGGGATTGTTCGGTGTTGTTTATCTGGGTGGCGTTGTGGTCTTTTCTGGTCTAGATTCTGGATTCTGGGGGTCTAGGGTCTAGTTTGGGTCTTTTGGGGTATTATTAGTATACTCTATACTGTATACTGTGTGTAGTATCGTGCTAATGCATGATGACGATGTCTGGATTTATACTGCATATACTCTGTAGTGATCTATGTCTATTGTATGTACTTCTATACTCCGTACTGTAGAATTACTCCCCAATAGACCCGTATCTCTCACCCTCTCTACCCCCATGTCTAGAAGAAGAAGAAGAGGAGGAGGAGGAGGAGGAGGAGGAGGAGGAGGAGGAG